AAATAAAACCAAAGTTTTTTTTTTTTAGATAATGTAATCTTGTTAAAATTGATTTCATAAAATTGGTATCGAAAAAAGTATCGTTCAGGAACCGGTATCGAAGTCAAGGTATCGGTATCGTTATTGAAATTTTTTTAACGATACCCAGCCCTACGTTTAATGCAGTTGTTGTTAATAGCAACGAATGGGATGTTTTCTTTCTCTTCGCCTTTTGTATATCAGTGGAACAAGATTTAAATCAAAGTAATAAATGAGCCAGGTCTAAAGTAATCTAAAAGTAATCAAAAAGTAGTCCAATTATATTACCAAAAATGTATAATGTAAACGATTCAATTTTTGTCATGTAATTTGGAATCAGTAGCAGACTACAATTTGTCAGTAATCTGCCCAGCTCTGTGTGTACTGTATTCCAGCCTTAAACATAGAAAAAGTAACATTTACCAATAAATAATATAGGCCTAATTAACATTGCATTGCAGTGTAATATACAGTGTTTGCTTCACATGTCAAGATATTTTCTTCTTGGAAGCTTTAAGCTTCATTTCATGTCCATTTTTTGGCAAATATATTGCTCAGCTGGCTATTATCACAAAATAAATCCCTTCAGGGTTTGTTTGACCATAATAACCCACTGACTGTACATTATCCCTTACATAATGCAAAGGGTGTTTTAGTTAAAACAGATTTATTTAGTAAGTAATGCAATGTAACCCCTGACAAGGGTTATTTTGCCACAGGGGATCTCCTAAAGGCGTTTACAGGCTACTTACCAAATAATACACAGACATTCAATATTGATATGATTATTAATATTATAGCCTACTTGTAGGAAGCGCAGAGACAGAATTTGAACACCGCTACAAAGTAAACACAGTAATTTTCCACATATATCCGTGTATTGCTGTAACAGAGAGGTTATATTCGCCTGGAAAATTTGGCGTGTTTCAAACCAAGCGGCTGATAACGCACAGCTATTGGCTGGCTCGTTTCGTTAATGTATTATAACATTACACAGCACAACACTCTGATGTTGGCTACAAACAAACACAATATGCGTGCGTAGTAGCGTAGCGTAATAACGACTCAGAAACTGACACGAACGTGTACGAGCTGACAGCACGTGTGGATTTTTCCATTTGTGATTATTTATATATTTCATTTCGGGTCAAATATTATTCCGAAAACTCAAAATTCACTGAACAGCCGCACATTTGCCATGCTCTCGTGTTCATTTCAAAGTCAAAAGCGACCCCTCACATTCAGCTGGACACAATGCAGCTCTTTGACACCATCTCTGACTGTGGGAGGAAGCTGCAAACACTCGATCCTATCGATAAAACTCCTCCTAAGCCATTCATCTATAACGTAACATACTTTCTACTATACTGCAGATTTCGGTTCAATCGGGTGATGGCGTGTCGATTGTTTTTCCATTGCCAAAATGAAGATATTAAGTCAAATCTAGATCAAGTGCAAAGACGTGCCTAACCACTTTTTGCTCCATGGTAAGTCATGAAGCTACTCATCATGCCTGGGATTGCGTCTGTGATTCGCGCACACGGAGTTAAAACAATGCTATGTTTAGTATGATATGAGCGAAATGACTGTGTAACGTGTCTAAACATGGCTGTAACGATCACGGTCTCACCTCATCGCAGGAGAGGGAATTTCTCGGCAGGCAGACGGCGTCAGCTGAGGAGGGATGTGGGCGCGGGGTGTTGACACAGCAGCGCTTTAGTGTCGCGAGATTTCCAAGTGTGCGCAAGCCTCTGCTGTTGAACCGTACAGACACGAGGAGTTTAGTCAGCACACTCTCGCTTTATTTTTACAAACCTTTATAGAGTGCATGCTCTACCAGACCTCCAATAAGCTTACTAAAATTTACATTTTAAAGAGGAAAAAGACCACATACTGAAAGGTGTCACAATATAATGACAGTCACTTAGAAAAATGCCATAATAGTTTGTCAAAATGCAACAGTTGGAATCGCTACCACAATAAAACTTCATCCAGTATCATCAAAAGGAAATTCAAATGACATGTTCTGTTATTACTAACATATGCAACATGTTAATTATAACATAAAATAGAGCTCATGGGACCATTTGAATCAAAAGGGAAGGAATTTAATTCTCTATTAGATTATCTAGACCAGTGGTTCTAAAATATGGGACCAGAACCCATTAGGGAGCCTCATAAATCTTCCAAGGAGGGCAAAATATGACTTAATTAAAAAAAATTCCATCAACAACTAACAATTGTATGTAAAAAAAAATAAATAAATAACTGGATATATGAGGGTATTTTAAAAGTGTGATTTTCAGATATGGGAAAGTCATGGAAATTAAAGTCTTTAAAAAAGTAAGTCTTTTTCATAATGAACCACTTTCTAGTTATGCCTAGCTCTGAGATATTTTATGAGGTAGAAATATACATTTGTGGGGGCGGTGGGGGTAGACTAAAAGTAGGGTAGACGTGTATATTTACACATAAATATGAATATATGAAAACGTTGCAATCAGATTTCTTCACTCAAAAATTGTTCTATTATGCTCTTCAATTAGTTGGGGATTAAATGTACTTATATTATAAATAAAAGAATTATAAACAACCTGCTCAAAAGAATAAAATGCTAAATATATTTAAATGAAATTGGCATGTTAGTGATCAATAAGGAATCCATAAAAGAGGTAAAGTACAAAACTTTAAAGGCAACCTGAATATCACATAACACTACATGTATCATCCATCTATATTTACTTTGGCATTTCCCAAAATCCCTGATATTATTCCAGTCTAAAATACACTGATCTTTATCAGCCAAAGTTAGCACTAGACAGCACTTGGAAATAACACATCACAAAAGTTTTGCAACTATATGCATCATGTTTTTTGCTTCAAGTTCAACAAGAGAAAACCAACAAACGCTTGAATTTCAGTTCAACTTTATTCCCTTGTTGTGCATTTAATATCAGGTAATCTGAATGGAGGAGGATGCAGACCACTGTAGTGCCATTTTCGCACACTAGAGTACAAGTTCGCCTTTTGGAAAATCTTAGGAAACAAAATGTTTTCCTTCTGTGAGATGATGTAAAAACAGTTTTTGGCATATTGAGCCATGGTAACACCCTTATGATGAGGTAGATCAACCAAAGGCAAGAACAAGAGCGCGTTACAATCAGATCCACCAAGAGCAGGCCTGAATGACGTTGGCAGGGCGGCTTCTCCCAGAGCTGGATGATTTTGTTAAAAAGCAGCAGTCAACAGTGGCACAAAATTCTCCTTCTGCAGCGACCAGTATTAAAAGGCACTTGGACTGATGATAACAAGTAAAACTCTGATAGGGGATCCCTCAATTTTTCTCCAATGCTAGTCCACAGTCCTCCACTAAAAAACGGATACTGAAAATAACGAAAGAAAATAATTATGACTGTGCCAAGGTATTTCAAATAGCATACCAGAGTCATATTGCTGCACACACATTACCTGCTGTTGGAATTACAGATCTCCGATGGGAATAATTTCTTCATTGATGAAAAACTCAATGGTCTCTTCCTCCCAGTCATCGACATTGCTGTCCAGCTCATCAGTGTTCACACCTAGAAAAGGTCAGAAAATTCAGCGATTACTAAAATAGTCACATACTGAACCACTAGTTTAGGGCTGTCACAATAATTACATTTTTGTTTACAATTAACGAATTGTGATTCATTCAATTGTGCTAATTTTGTGTTATTATTATACTGCAAGCTAAATATGCTATATGTCATGTTCACTTTGAGCATTTAAACAATGTACAATTTCATTTGGACTTTATAAACCAAAAACACAGGAAAAGCCATGAATAAACCATAAAAATGTTTGTCATATATCTTTGGTTATAAACAATTACACTGTATGTTACCATGCACCATTTGGTACAGCCACATTTATATTCAGACACTGCTGAAGGGCAGGTGAAGTTCTGGTTGTCTAGTTTCACATTTTTGATGAGGTGATAGATCTCTTTTGAACATTTGTTAAATTACTACCTTTCACTGCCATTTTTCTTTCAAATCAAAATTTATCACGTCAAAAAAAAATTATCTGGCTGTTCTATTTCCATTTTTATTTAGTTTAAAATTAAAATATTGCCACAAGTGGAACATTTAAAAATGTCAATTTCAAAACTGCTGCAACTGAATTTCACACGTTTTTTTCTGCAGTACACAGAATATATAATATAAAATTCTATATAAAATATAGAATTTTTTATTCACAATTTCCACCTTACAAAATATTTTTAAGCTTGGCATGAGACTATTAATTTACAGAAATCATCTCAAGGCCCCCTCGGAAGTTTTGCTAAAGCCCTCCGGTTATTTATAGTATTCAGCATTTGGAGTATAAAAGTTCGTTATTTGAATGGCAATGTGATTGCATAACTTAAAGATAAAACATCGCAGTTGTTTCAAAAAATTGTGGTTGGATCAATAAATGCAACCGGTGTATTCTAGAGAAGGGCACTGAAACTGTGCTTGCTAAGCAGCCTAAGAGATGTCACTGATGGTCAATAAAACTCCATGTTGAACAGAGCTGCTCTCTGCATTAGTTACCTCCTCTGAGTTCAAGGCGGAGAGGTCTCTGCTCGTTGTACATGTCTACGGCTCTCTCACGGTACTTGCGATACTCCTCCATCATGGAACGTCTCTTGTCCACCAGTTCCTGTGAAGCACAAGGGACTCATTTGAATTGACCTTTGTACTGACCTTTGATCCACATATGAATACTGTGTGCATCCTAGGGGGGAAAAAACCAACAACAACAGATCAATTTCATACCTTTGATGCCTTGGACTGACTGAGACGATCTTTCTGCTCGAAGATCTTGGAGTATTTCTTCAAGTCCTTCTTAATGAGCTGTGGATTTCAAAATGTAAGGTGGGATTAGAGTTGACTCTGCTTGACAGAGAAATGAGAGTGACCCTGCATCTGACCCTTTCTCACCTTTATTTGCTCTTGAGTCAGGAGAGAGGGAGGACGGGGCCTCCACAGCAGCTGGCAGAAACGCTCTTTGTTGGTCTTCTGCAGCAGACGGCCCTGGAATGTCCACAGCCAAAAGGCATTGTCCACCTTAAAAAAAAATTTTTTTTATCAGTTTATACAAAGGCATCTGGATATCAGGGCTCTACGCTTACTTTTCTTTTAAAACTTAAAAAATTTAGGAGCACGTTCAAAATTTTAGGAGCACCTTCTAAACAATTATCCAAAATGTTATCAAAAAGTAGCCTTCCCATTACGAGGTGATATTTGACTCCTCTAACTTTATTAAAAGTATGTCATCTTTTGTCAAATTCTTAAAAAAATTATATTTTATAAGCTTTTTAAAAATTGTAATTAAAACGACAGAATACGAACAAGTAGAATAAGAAATATAAGTTACCAATCTTCAGTCGCAAATGCGACTGAAATGGTCACACTGTAGAGCCCTGGATATGCATTTTCAATCCACATAAAGGAATAATAATAAACACCTCCCTGTATCATATTTTATGACTGAAATTCAATCTTATTTCTTACTCATTTTGGGGTGCTAATTACAAAAATAGTGTCTATTTTACTATAGCACCTCACATGTTTTCACAAAATGTGTGTTTCATAGCATTTTTGCTTTTTATTATAATTTGTAAGGTGTAGTCATCTTGTAATATCTCTTAATCAGTAAAAAAAAAAAAAACATGATTCCCATCTTCCTCTGAGCCAGTTTACAACTATCTGTTCAATTCTGAGCTGATTTTCACATGCATGAATTCTAAAGACCTTTATGCCTAATAAAATCCAGGTTAAACAGAATTTGACCGAAGAAAAAGCAAACATGACCCAGATGTTTTCTGCTACATCTGTGGGTGTTTTACCATTTTACCACATTGGAAAATTAGATTGGGATGGAAAAAAGATTATTTATTTATAAACTTGTGTTTATGTAAATGTTTTTCACATTAAATTAAGTGTTTTAGCACATTTCAACTCCTTACAGACTGTATGTTTAATTAATGATACATTTTGAATACCTATTTTTTTTGTCATTAAAACTGAAACGTCTGAAAAATCTTAATTCTTATTTTGTGAAAAAGTATTATTGATTAATGTGTTTATTGCTATTTTTAACGCAACATCAAAAGTATTCATTTGTTTTCATAAAAGATTCTTACTGACCTCAAACTTTTGAACGCTAGTGTAATTTAATAATAAATATAATATTTGCAATTGAATCAGATAAATCACCTTGTGGCTCCACCAGGAGACAGATGTCACAACATATCGTCCGGTGGGGTCCCATTCTACGTCTGAGGCCATGTAATGCTCTGCGATGTTCATCATGGTACAGTCTGACGTGTCCACAAAAGCAAGAGCTCCATTCATGCTACAGGATGAAGCAGAGAAAATTATACAAATGAACCACTCTAAAAGAAAGTACAAACTAACTCAACACATTTAAAGAGTACAGACCTCCTCAACCCAGCCAAGACCAAAAACTGCCCCTGTGGACTCCAGAAGATGCTGTTTGCCTGTTGCTTGTCAAACATTTCTGAAACAACACATTTTTAGTTCATTTTTAGATCATGTACATGTATAAAAAAAAAAAAAAATCAAGAGTAATACATTCACAATGTGAACACTCACTTATTAAGTCAATTTTGCCATTGTTTTTCACATGGTAGAATGACACATTGATTCTGGGAGCTTCACCATGTAGCACAGCAAATTTGCTGCCATTTGGTTCCCAAGCAAAGGCAATGATGCTCTCTGTAAGACAGGAAGAGATATCAGAAGATATTAAAGATAGTAAGAAACAAGAAATAGCAATATAATGTCTCAAGATCCATCTCTATTTACCTTTCATCTCCACCACATCCACAGGTACCTGCTTCTCTCTCATTCTGAATATCTCAAAGTTGGTGACAACACCCTAAGGTAAAAAGAAGTTGAGCAAATCCGTGAAAAGGAAACATTAAAATTTAGCGTCAAAGCACAATTTCAAAGCAGCTGTTATACCTGTGTTCCTTTGGGTGTCCTGTCCACCTTCACACAGAGATAGTCTCCGTTTTTCTGCCAGTGAAGTTTGCAGTCCACAACATTAAACAAGTTGCGGACTCTGATCTCGTTCCTGGATGGAAGCTGCATGAGTGTTACTCTTGCTGGGATGTCCTTATCCTCTGGAACCCAGAACGCAATGATATTATCACCAGGTGACCAGGAGAAATCCCTGTGGACATAAAATTCATTCTACATTAAAACATAACTTTAAAAAATAAGAATAATTGGAATTAGTACTTTAAAAACAAAATAAATTAATACATTTATTCAGCAAGGATGCATTAAATTAGTCAAAAGTGACCGTATAGGCTTTTATGATGTTACAAAATATTTATATTTTACATAAATGCTGTTCTTTTGAACTTTGTTCATCAAAGAATCCCGAACCAAATGTATCATGGTTACTACAAAAATATTAACAATGATAGTAACATGTTTCTTGAGCAGCAAATCAGCATGTTAGAATGTTTTCTGAATGATCATGAGACATTAAAATTGTAATAATAGTTTGACGATATTCCTGTTTTTTGTTTTCTGTTTATGACCAAATTAATGCAGCCTTGGCAAGCATAAGAGACTTCTTTTAAACCATCCCAAGATTTTGAACAGTAGTGTATTTATGCGTTTTCAATCGTTTTATTTTACTCACTTAATTCCATTAATCTTCAAACTCTTCTTGTCCAAAAGACCCATTGACTAGAAAAGAATCAAATTTGATTTGTTAAACAACTGAACTCTAAGGATTCTCAAACCTTGTATCTCTGACACAGGACACTTACCGGTGTTTCATAGATGCTCAGCGTGTCCAGCGTCATTCGGGCAAAGAACTTCCCATCTGGACTCCACCTGAACAGAACAAGTTTACATTGTTATATTAAATATTAAATTATATATTATAGTTTGACTATAACGGAATGGTAAAACATGCCATGAAAATCAGCTCCACTCTTACTTGAAAATTGGCCAGTGGGCAGAGCTTTCACAGTGGAAGCCTCTTTTCTTGTGTCCTGTGAGAACATCCCAGATGATGATCGCCTGTGGGTCGTCTTTAGTGTCGAGGAGAGGGCTGAATGTGACAACATATCTGCAAAAACCAAATATATTAAAAATGTGTAACAGCACAAGAAAAGAAAAAAAAAATCATCTAACTGTACCATGCAATACACAATGATATACTGAAAAATATTGTCCTAGTATAAAGATCTCTTTGAAATATATGAAGTAGTGAATGATTGATTCATCTGCTATTGTTTGGTTATTTTGATATTGTCACCATCGACTAACAACCAGGGTTATTAGGGTTATTAACTAAAACCATAAAAAAAACATTTGAAATAAACATTAACTAAAAGTACAAAAAACCTAAAAAGACAAAACAAAAAAAATATTAAAACACTGAAATTAAAATGAAAACTCAGTATATAATAAAAATATTCAAAATATTAATACAAACTAAAATAGCTGATTCTGGTGATAATGCAGTTTTGGTTTTATTGGATCTTAGTGCTGTCTTTGATACAGTTGATCATAATATCCTTCTGTCATGCCTTGAACATTGGGTGGGCATAAAGCGTACAGCACTTAGCTGGTTTGAGTCATATCTGAAATCCAGGTCATTTTCAGTGTCTGTTGGCCAGTTTATCTTGGTCACGACTTAAAATTAAAAGGAGACAGAGCCTTTGCAGTCGCTGCTCCACGTTTGTGGAATCAGTTGCCACCTGACATTAGGAGTGCTTCTTCTGTTTCTATTTTCAAGTCCAGACTTAAGACACATTTTTACCCTCTCGCCTTTCCGGGCTATTAATAGGGGTTATGCGCAACAGACTTCCGTATTCAGTTAACTGGGTCTCGTCACTTCCGGTTCAAGCGTTTTGCATATGCTTGGTTAAATATGAAGCAGTTTTACTCAAGATGCCTTCAAAGTAGATACCAATGATGATCATAACCAATGTCCATCACATATGCGGACTGATATCTAAAAGTTTTTTATTTTTATTCTTTTCACATTTAGATATAAAAATTTAACAAAACGTCAACAATAAAAACAGCTAGCTTGTTTAACTTATCTTAAAAGTCCATAGATATCGCTATTATTTAATACGGCTGTTAACACGTTCTCCGACAAGCGGAAGCGATGAGACCTGTTTTCCGGGTTTGGACAGGTGAAGTTCGACATATACCCTATTGAATGTGAAACTGTTGTTATTGCTGATATTAAAAAAAATTTGTTATTGTTTTTTAAATTTTACTTTATTTTAGAATTTACTGTATTTTATTATTGGTTTTGTTCAGCACTTTGGTCAGTGTAACGCTGAATTTTAAATGTGCTCTCTAAATAAAACTTACTTACTATATAATTTGACATTTGAAGCTTAATACTATAGAAAAGCACTAAAGGTTTTTCAGTTAGTGTTTTCAGCTTGTTTATTTTCATATAAAAATACGGCATGCAGTTGCATCAAACAATGGTATAAACATCAGTCAAAGTAAATTGTGATAATCGTAATTAATAATCGCAATTACAATTTCAAGGGAATAATCGACAATTATGATTTTTGTCATAATCGTGCAGCCCTAGTGTGTGTGTGTTTAGAAATAAACCAAAAACAAATGGGGGAAAAATACATGTCAGTCAAATACAAATATGAACCCATTTCTACAGTCCATGACATACCTCTCACAGGGTGAGAAATCAATGAGCTGAACCCCCTGATGACTGAACCTCTGGATCTGCTTGAACTTCTCACCGCCCCAGAGAGCGATGCCTCTCTGATGGAATGTGGCCAGATAGGTGCCTTTTGGAGACCAGCGCACATATGTTTCGGTCCAGCGCTACAAGCAAAACGTAACAAAAAGATACTGAATACAGTATGCATGGCCACATGGTTATTATATTCTAAAGATGAACAGATGAACTCACCGCTCTCTCCTCTATTTCAATAGGCTCCTTGACATCATTAGCAAATATGCCTGTTCTTTCACCAGAGTCATAGATTACGCTGTACTGATCACGACAGTCAGGATCCTCCAGCCAGTGACGCAGATTACCCTGAAACCAAAAGACCAAATGTCAAATGAATACACAAATTGAAAAGTATGTTAGTATTGCAGGGTTGGATTACACACAATCAGAACAAACTACTCACAAAATCTTTAAAGGGCTGCTTCTCAGGAGCTTCCCACTCATCACAGATTGACATGTACCTAGAGATGAGAAATGTTTTATTAGAGCCAAAGAATAATACATCAGTCGATATTTAGCATTTTGTTAATTATCGCACTGGCTAAATTTTGGCCAATAAGCATCACATCACAACATCAGGATTTTTAAATAAATTTATTTGCAGTTCAATAGTATGATATCATCTATATCAGCATCCGTGCTTTCTAAAATATTGGCATCAGCAATCAACAAATGCATATCGGCCGACCACTATTTTAGATCTAATCCAGGGCTGTCCAAACTCGGTCCCGGAGGGCCGGTGTCCTGCAGAGTTTAGCTCCAACTTGCCTCAACACTCCTGACTGGAAGAGCTCGATTAGCTGGTTCAGGTGTGTTTAATTAGGGTTGGAGCTAAACTCTGCAGGACACCGGCCCTCCAGGACCGAGTTTGGACAGCCCTGATCTAATCAATCATTCGCAAATGCTGTCACAATTACAGCACAGTTAAGGACAACATACTTGTCAAAGTCTGTGAACAGGTTGACACGGAAAGTATGCTGCTTGTCCAGCTTGTAGCCATCAGCGTTCTTCACAGCTTCATGAGCATGACTTGGTGCAGAATACTCCAGGAAAATGTACCTGGGAAAATGAAGCACATTAATTATAACTCAAAGAATAGCATAATGCCATCATGTTTTTCCATTTCAGGGATCATATTAATCAGTATTAACATATATAATAGGTTACAAAAGCACTATTATCCAAGCATCAATTTCTAATATTCCTATCATTTTTAATGGTAGGCTAAACAATGTAAAGAATGTGACCCTGGAGCACAAACCCAGTCATAAAGTCGCACAGATATATTTGTAGCAATAGCCAAAAATACATTGTATGGGTCAAAATTATTAATTTTTCCTTTATGCTAAAAAAAGGATATCATAAAATCATTAGGATATTAAGTAAAGATCATGTTCCATGAAGATATTTTGTAAATTTCCTACCGTAAATATATCAAAACTTAATTTTTGATTAGTAATATGCATTGCTAAGAACTTCATTTGGGCAACTTTAAAGGGGATTTTCTTAATATTTTGATTTTTTTTTTTTTTGCACCCTCAGATTCCTGATTTTCAAATAGTTGTATCTCAGCCAGATATTGTCCTAACAAACCATACATCAATGGAAAGCTTATTTATTCAGCTTTCAGATTATGTATAAACCTCAAATTTCGAAAAATTGACCCTTATCACTGGTTTTGTGGTCCAGGGTCACGTATCAGTCATTAAAAAAAATGATTGGCAAATTGTCAACGATGGTGCATCCCTACTTCCCATAGCAACCAAACCAAAAATTACCCCTTGGTCTTTCCATCTGCGTCTGGATAGAATTCATTGGTGATTTTGCCAAACTTTGAGAAGATCTTCTGGATGACGTTCTTGAGTTTCTCCAGACGTTCTGGACCAACCTGAGGAACATTATCCACCACAACGACCGAGTCGATGCCGTCTGCCTCCTGAGGTTTATCCCGGAGAACATCCCCCAGCAGCTCTGCGTACGGAGGAAAACACCCAACAAAAGCCACATCAGCATCTTAAACATGCCATGGTTATCCAGATGTTACAGCGCTGCACTTAACTTTGTGAATTCAAGAGCAAAGCAGCTGCTGACACAATGCAAGAGCGCTGCTGTGACGCGCGCGACTATTTCCCTAAAGCTGCTTTTGTCCCGCTTAGCGCGCATGCTCAACTGAAAAACGGAAGCGTTAACTGGAATAAAATGCGTTTAATCTAACACAAAGCAGTTAAGCGGTATCATATGTTACTAAACAATGAATCCGAAGGGTGTTGGTGCTAGTCTCGGGCTGACATGTTGAGCTTTAGGGTCAAGTGTGTGACTCGTGCCCCGTTAGCAGGCGGGCTAAAGCGCAGGCCTCTCTTAACTTTACCCTCATCACTGATGTCATCCACGAAATCCTCCGGATCACTGAACGAAGGCTCTTCTCCGTCGTCATACTCCATCTCTGCCTCCATATTCTCCGTATCTCGCATTTAGAGATCGATTCCTGTCAGTCTGGGCTTGTGAAAAGGCGGTGGTGAATTTCACAGCATTAATCCAGAGATTTTACTCACTCGGCCATGTGCAAAGCAGCCGGCGCCAACCACTGCGAGCGAGAGAAGGACCGTACCATGTGTGCGGAGAGCGGGTGAGGGCTCTTACAGAGCGTTTTAGTATTCATGTACAACACAAACTTAAGCGCAAGATGGGGGGGTAATTTAAAATAACAGTATATATATTTATAATGGTATTCATGTGGTCCGAATGCGCTGAATGTGTCATTTTACTGTAAAATATGGAATGCCTTGACCCCTTTTATCATCAACATGGTCTTTCCCTTTGCTTATCTCCCTGTACTTCCTGTTCATGTGACAAATACCTCCAGTCCGAATATTAGGGATGGGCCATACCACTTATTTTGTTTTCGATACGATACCGATATTTTTCAAGGCAGTATCGTCGATATCGATACCGATGCGATACTTCTGAACTAAACCAGTATCGATGTATGACATGTATTTGTTGTTTGAGTATCGATACTTTCGATACTCGCGTCAGTATCGATATATCGATACGTTGGATCGATACGCCCATCCCTACCGAATATGCGTTATTATTAACTACTAGGCCTATAGTATGCAAAAGCGATAGATAGATAGATAGATAGATAGATAGATAGATAGATAGATAGATAGATAGATTGATAGATAGATTGATATATGGATCATCTGAAAGCTGAATAAATAAGCTTTCCATTGATGTATGGTTTGTTAGGATAGGACAATATTTGTACGAGATACAACTATTTGAAAATCTGGAATCTGAGGGTGGAAAAAAAATCAAAATATTGAGAAAATCGCCTTTAAAGTTGTCCAAATGAAGTTCTTAGCAATGCATACTACTAATCAAAAATTAAGTTTTGATATATTTACAGTAGGAAATTTACAAAATATCTTCATGGAACATGATCTTTTCTTAATATCCTAATGATTTTTGGCATAAAAGAAAAACTGATCATTTTGACCCATACAATGTATTTTTGGCTATTGCTACAAATATATTTGTGCTACTTATGACTGACTTATGACTTTGTGGTCCAGGGTCACATTTTTGCCTGTGACAAATACATCAACTTGGTTTTAATGTTATTTTAGAGTGAGATGAATTTATGAATTTTGCAAAATCTCAGAGGCTTGTTTGAGTACCCCAGTCTTCTCCTTTTATACCATTGTACCCCATTTTGGATAACTGTACAATTGTACCTATACCCGCTGATCTTTGATGGTAAGTGAGTGTAATATACAGATGTGTGGTACTCGTGAGTTTTTTCCAGTGATATAACATTCAAATTCACCGGAAGGGTGAAGCCTGGTAATGATCCGGAAATGAGATCCTTTAATCTTCGGGGCGGCTGGGAACATTACAAGAGAGTAATTTTTCAAATACATCCTCAGGGCATGACTGCAATACACAGTTTATGTCTAGTAAATGATTTAGTTCATTACTAAAACCTATAAGAAGCTATTTTGTTTGGATGTTTTCCAGCTGATTACACTGATTGACAATGACCTGTGGCAGTCCTACAGAAACACAAGGAAACTATTAAACACAATAGGAGACTGTTTTGCATTGAATAAGCACAGTGGTGTATAACGGAAATTATTGTACTCTTTTCATCCAGTAAATGAACTGCGGACCTAAACCACAGTTCAACATCTAATGAATTATATATTCACATCTGTGTGAAACGAACTGCTGTTCCAAATAGGTATAGGCTATGTAAAGTTACACTTGTATAACCTCCTCAAAAGGCCTTAATAATAATAAATTTAATGCATCCCTGCTAAATGAAAGTATTAATTTCATATAAATAAATAAACCAAATGAATGGCCACTTATTCTTCTGCAAGCAAAAGCCATGAACTTGATATTGGACATAATTTTCTTTATAATCTTTATAGATCAAAAATTAAAACGAATCAAATATAAGAATCGTTGTATTTTTTTTTATTTTATTTTATTTTATTTTTTTGTTTCTTTTTCCTCTAGCAAGGTTTAATTCCATGTTCTAAAGGAGATTTTCAAAATGTTGTCTTTTAAGTAGACAAGCGCTTCTTTACACGTAACCAGTAGGGGGCGCTCTTGTTGCAAGGAGTTTGAAGTTCATATTAGTTTGTCTTCCGTTAGTGACAGATTTCCCAGTCATACAAGAGTCAGGTGATTTGTTCTGTCTGGACAAACTCTGGCCACCGCACAATGATTGGTGTCCTTCTAGCTATGTTTTTGCGGCTGCGATTAGATTACTAACAGTAAAGTTCCCGTAGGCACATCTTTTCCAGCTAATGTCAGAGCTGACATTTTATTTCACTCCTTAATACTGGAAAAATCACTGTTGGATGTGTATTTGAAAGCCCAACACAGGCCTAGCAGGCAGATTAAAGTAAAGGGCAGATTGAAACATTGTTAAACAGTCTGGCAATGACTGCTGCCCTTATTTATTACTAAATATCAGCATTCAATTTTGAAGTGCAATGAAAGGCAGCCTGGAGGAAAAAATGTAAGTATAACACAAGTCATGAGTTTTACCTCACGCAAATAAGCCATGGTCGGCCCAGAAAAGGCACTTTGTGTGCTTAGACATTATCTACTTCCTTGAGCCGAGGATTTGTCAAGGGCTACATGGGGAATATTTGTTTAGATGTGTCTTACCATAATAGGACCTCTTTGTTCATAGTCAAACATGAGCTCCCTCACAGGAAAGAAAACATTCTCAGCAACTCTTATATGACAATAAAGCCTAAAATAGCTGGCTACAAAGACGGGTGGCGTTTTGAAAAAGATGCATCTACGCTTGAAGTTAAAATTGTACTTACTGAGCACAGGCCCCAGTTGGGGGTAACACTTCCTCTGCCACTTAACTCTTGCATAACCTGTTTATTTGTCTTTGTTTGAACTTGCTCCCAAAGCCATGTGTAGGAAATGCACAGTGTGGAGACAGTTCGGTTTTTCATATATGGGAAAACAGCAGATTTAAACTTTACACACAAATAAGACACCAGAAAGCTAATGGTAATAAGATACAGAAACAACATTAATGTCAGATAATCTATCCTCTAATATACAAACGCTATTGGCCTAGTTGGGATGTGACCCAAAAATGAGTCATATCCTATCTCACCACAGACAAAATGTAAATAATGAAATGCAGCTCTGGTCATATATGTCAAAGACTGATTGTCCAGTCAAACGGAGGTAAATTCATCTGTCACATTGCCTGTGATTCATTTTAAAAACGTTTTGATTTAGTTTTGTTTGATCAATAATTTTGGGGTTGTCGTAAAATGACATTCATCTTCCTGTTTTTGTTATCAGTAATGTACATCTGTGTTACATTTTTCTGTTATTTAGTAAATGTTTATTGTATTATTTTTCACATCATCTGTGTTGGTCTTTGTGTCAACAATCCTGTGCGTCATCTATATATGAGTATTGGTCACTTACAATTAACTCTGATTCATCTTGTGGATTACTATTGTACAGTCTGCATTATCATGGTGATTTTGAATGTTAAAAGCAGATTTTGAATGGTATATTAATATATCTTTTATATACAGGCATTATATGCCATCCCATCATTTTTTTTTTACTGTTAATATCTGGCAACCACAGCTGCCTGTATTATTTTTTACAGTAAATTAAACAGCATATTTTTAAAGTGCATATTCAGTTGCAATATGCAGTTGTATAGGAACAAGGCCAAAAGTATAACTCAACATTTTATTGTATTTATACAGGTCTTATATACAAAACACACATATAATGAAGTTAAAATCTGGAATTTCACACTTTTTACAATCACTGGATACATAAAACTTTAGGGAAGCAAAATCTGAAAGTTGAAAAAAGTACAGTAAAACACTAAAAGAGTGTTGAAGTAGACATCCTGTTAACGGACACTCATGAGATCCTAAAAGGGACAAAACACCAGAGCAGCAAATGTAACGTAAATACTGTAGTTAAATCACCTTCAGTAGATTGAAATCACAACTGGAAATAGTTTCTTTGATTATTATTCACCAATTATAATTAATATCAAATTAATTACGCGCCATATGCTTATCTTGATTGTAGGTTTTAACAGCCTTTATACTGTGTCTGTGTTTCTTTTCCACTATTTAACTTTCAAACTCTCCCAATGGATTTATGGTCTTAAAAGAGGAAACAAGGACAAACACAGTCTTGAATTAAAGAATCCAATCGGCTTCTTTATGTGCACAAGAGGAGCCAGAGATCTTCCAGTAAATGCATGTGTTTTGCTCCCACTAGGAAGAGCTGTCAGGGACAAAGGTTTAGGGTGTGTCCAATATCTCAAATCAAATCCCTTCCTGCCAACTTTCAGTAAGCCAACATGGCACTGCAGTGATTATGAGGAAGGACATAATTTAAATACCTTTAGGGCACAGAGAGACATTGTCAATGCTGTTTTGCAAGAAATGAGTCACAGTTTCCATTGTAGTCCACAAACAAGAAAGAATGCAAGAAAATGGCTTGATGCTTTTGTTAAAACTTGAAAACTATTTGATAGCTTATCTCAAGCTTTCCCTTAACACAAAACAATGGCAAAAACAAAATTCTGACAAGTGGACACCTGCACTGAAATTGAAACCGCTGGTCCTCCGAGGAGACTGTGAGTCAGCGACTACTTCTGATGACAAAACCAGATCTCTGGAAAATGGATCAAACTATGCCACAACAATTACTTCTTAGCATTGGCAGACATCCCCAGGAAGTCACTTCACACCCCGTTCATGAAGTAGTTCAAAAGAATAAAACACAACATGGGTGCAACAAATTGGGGGCTCGTCCGGGATCGCAACTCCAGCTAAAACCAAAAGCCCACATCTGTTCACAGCTGACATTCATCAAGATCCAGAGAATAAAACTCAGTCCCCGAACAGCATCGGGTTGACTCCCTCTGAAATCTCCTTATAAAATCATAAACTACATAGGTTACATACATTTCGAGAGGATTAACATCATATGAATACTCAAAAGTAAATATGCTGTGCAATAATGACATTTAAAGAATACCATTAATGCATTATTTAAGTTAGTGGTGTTAGGCATAACCAGTGATTTGACCCTACTCTATACTTCAAAGCTTGTAGCTTAACTCGAAGAGACACATAAAAGCAGAAGAGACAGTTAACATGTACAAAAGCTGTTATTCACTCTATGTACAAAAACCCTGCTTAGTTGTTAATGAGAATTTTGCATGTCATCTATAAACTCACAAGTATAGATAAAGCAAAATGTGATTTAAATGTTAGATTAAATAAAAAATAAACCTGTCAGGTGACATGAAATTAACTACTTGTTCAAGCAGGATGTTCAGTGCAGGTTTGCTATTGATATTTAGGATGTTATTTGGGAGATGAGCCAGTGTAACGTTATTGTGCATTGAGATTATCCTTGAGGAAAGAGGTGAAAATTCTCTATAATGATTAATTTTCAGTCTGCTTCATTTTCTTTGCAGTGACAAACTGTAATACCCTCAAATGTTCTTGGCTTTTCTACCATCCAAGGTGTCTTCAAACTTCCTGTTTCACGGGAACACATTAAAACGAGTGAGGACAAAGAGAGATTCATGTCATTTTTATACGCCATGTCTCAAGTATAAAGGACTGGATATTGGAGTACATGATTAACTAACACATGATGTTTCTCCTGCACAGTTGTCAAGGCAAAATGGGTTCAAATTAAATCCAGAAGGCATTTTTTGCTGCAATAGGATGGGAAACAGACTCAAACAACGGCAAAACTGATCAAAAATTACTGTAAAAGTCACTGCAACATTATGTCTTTAAGGTTCTCCTGAAGAATTGTGTCTTTGACGGCATGAAAGACGAAGCGAATGTTCTCAGTGTCAATGGCAGTGGTGAAGTGGTGGAAAAGTGGCTTGCTGCGGTTGCGACGTTTGCGGTTGAAGCATTGCACAAGATAGGCCTGCACGTCCTCCAGTCGGTGAGGGTCTCCTCGGAAGTCGGAAAAGTGTTTGCTAATGTTGACTTTGCGTACCTTCTCCACCAGAAGGTCCATCTTGTTGAGGAAGAGGATTATGGACACATTGGAAAAGAGCTTGTTGTTGACTATGGTCTCAAAGATGTTCATGGACTCCACCAGACGGTTGGTGCGGCGGTCTTCCATCAGCACCTGGTCGTACTCGCTGGAGGACACCATGAAGAGGATGGAGGTGATGCCGTCAAAGCACTGAAACCATTTCTGTCTCTGAGAGCGCTGGCCACCCACATCTACCATCTTAAAAGGGATCTTCTTAATGACAAAATCATGCTCCACAATCCCCTTGGTGGCCTTCCTGGCCAATAGGATGTCCTGTCGGCTCGGTACATAATTCTGTAAGAAAAGGTTGAGTAAAATTGAGTGAGTAGCAAATACATTCGGTTTGTCTTTAGATAGCAGGATTGTTTTCAGCACAAATCATACAGATTTTTAGCAGTTCTGCTAAATTTATCTGAAATATTTTTTATTAACAATTTTATTATTTGCACAGGTCTTTTAGAGTATTTTTTTTTATGGTTCACATTCTACTAGGGTCTTTTTCCATTTGTGCAACCTAAAACATACATACTACACTTAAACATTCGGATATTTTTTAAATCTATGTGGTCAAAAGTAAAATAAGAGAAGTTCCTATAGGCAATCTTTTGTACATACAACCTCTTAATGAAAATTGCCACAAGGGCAGACAAAATGATCTTCAAAGCAGCTTTCATAGGGCCCACATCCCACCCAAACTAACATGTATTTGTTTTGTCATTGGCCTTGGTTTCCATGCTCACACAAAACACTTCCAGGCCTTTTTTTTAATCACTCATATGAGACACAGTATGTGTTCTTGGCAACCTTGGCCAATATCAGTCTCAAAGAGACCATTCTTCTTTCATTTTCAGTGTCTCCAGTCTTCAGTGCCACCTCCTCTGCTGGGAAACACTTTATAAAAAAACACTATTCTGACTAACTATCTATCTTTCTAACTATCTTTCCAGATGACTATCTTTGTTTATTTAATTGATGTATCATTATTAGAACAGTGAATGATCATATACCATGAAGATCTGGCACCACTAAATAATGTTTTGCTATCATGACTCACCAGTTGTCCAATCCAATCCAAGTTGTCCAGGAAATATTTCACTGATTCACTCTGTAAAAAAAGGCCACAAAAAAAGACAGGGTTTTACTCTGTGTGCAATAACGGACATTTCAGCTTATTCACATTTATGATTTAATTTAAATGAAGCAGAACAAACTAAACAAACTAAGTATGATAATTACATGTATTTCTGGGGTGAAGTCTGGAGTCCATAATATACATTTTTGGAAAGAAATGAGGACTTTTATTCAGCAAGGATGCATGAAATTGATCAAAAGTGACGTGATTCGTACTGTTACACAAGATTTCTATTTCAAATAAATGCTGTTCTTTTGAACTTTCCATTCATCCAAAATCCTGACAAAAAGTATCACTATTTACACAGAAATATTAAATGTAATATTAATAAAATAAATAAATAAATAAAATATACAAATGTTTCTCGAGTAGCAAATCAGCATATCAGAATGATTTCTGAAGGATCATGTGACACTGAAGACTGAAGTAATGATGCTGAAAATTCAGCTTTGACATCACAGGAATAAATTACACTTTAAAGTATATTAACATAGAAAACTGTTATATTGTTATATTGTGTTAATGTTGCACAATATCACTGTTTTACTGTATTTTTGATCAAATAAATACAGCGTTGGTGAGCATAAGAGACATCATTTAAACATATTACAGACCCCAAACTTGTATAGCTCTTCTACTCAGGCAGGACAATTAAAGTCTATAGAAAACACATTCTCAGTTCTTATTCTTCTCACATAGTGATTTATTTGCAAAACTCTCTTTTAACATTTTTATTAAAACAAATAGGGCAACACGATCCCAAAAGCTGTTCTAATTCAGGAATGGAAAGTCTAAAAGTAACAGGATGTTCCTATCTTTGTCTGAGAGCTATGCGGGACACTCATACCACATAGTGCCCGTCAGCAGAACTCCAGTTAACTCTATAATGTAGCTTTTACACATAATGCTCATAATCTCCTGTTACTTCATAAAATGCTGTGTGGGGTGTCAGATGAAAAATCATTCTCAAGTATTGCTCCCTTGGACCAACATTTGGTTAAGGAAAGGAAAGGACATGACATGTGGCCAAGTAGGGTGTCCCATACTTGGAATTTGTGCTCTGCATTTAACCCATCCAAGTACACACACACAGCAGTGAGTAGTGAACAAACACACACACACCCAGATCAGTGGGCAGCCATATTGCTGCAGCGCCCGGGGAGCAGTTGGGGGTTCGGTGCCTTGCTCAAGGGTCTCATCTCAGTCGTGGTTTTGAGGGTGGGAGAGAGCACTGGACATTCACTCTCTCCCACCTACAATCCCTGCCAGACCTGAGACTCGAACCCGCGACCTTACAAGTCCGACTCTCTATCCATTAGGTCACGACTGCCCCTGTGCACATTAGCACAGTCTGTTTACATTACAGAATGATGGCTCTAATAAATGGATCCTATAATATCCAAACATTACAAATAACAGGCACATGAATGCCTGCAGGCACTATGTGTTGAACTCAGCTCAGACTTTCACTCCTATAACTACAGGAGATTCAGGTCAGAGGTCGAAGCCCAATTCATATATAAAGCTGACTGATGAGACGTCTGAAGCTCAGGGTGATCGGAGTCAGTACAGCATGTTCACACTGGTCTCGTCCAAGAATCAGTTATGTCTGCTGCCTTCATAAGCCACAATCTACTGATAACTGCATTTATTGTCCAATATCTGGAGACTTTTCCAAGCAAAAAAACAGGTTCTGTCTTAATAGAATGGACTCCCTAGAATGAAGCAATAGAGAGATGAACTAAACTGCTGTGTTGAGCATTATTTCCTGACAAAGTTGTTTTCACGCAGGCTTTTGGATGGCAGACACTGCAGCCTTGGCGTTTCAGTGAACATTGTCTGGAAAAGCAAATTGTGTCCTCTAGTTTGTGTGTTTCTCACAAAGGCCCCTGGCCTGGCCCATGTTCCCAACAGGAAACAGCTGTGTGTGAAAACAGGGGATTAGTCGAACAACGCTGGCCCTCTATAACAGACTGAAGCCCAACACCCCAACCCTACACACAACACACATACACCGCACATCATAAGAGCTTAATGTAACGCAGGAAGGAAATCACATAGATATCTGATAGCAGCTCACACACACACACACACACACACACACACACACACACAGACAGACACTTCTATAAATTATTTTCAAAATTTTTATTCATAATTATATATAATTCTATCATTTAATAATAATATTTCAAAACCAAAAACAAATATTTTATATTTTACATATTGCCCATATATGATACATATTTTATAGGGGAACATAAAAATGCAAATATAATTTGCAATATCATTAAATATCTTTTTTTGGGGGGAAATATTAAATTGCTATGTAATGTATTCATTTTTTATTTATATGATCAAATTGAAAGAAAAAAATACACAAAGCCCAAAAGTAAAAAAAAAAAAAAAAAGTAAAAAAAAAAAA